GGGTTCAAACAAAATCAGCGCATATGGTTATCATGATTCATTAAAATAATTTTTGATTTTTACTCGATTTTACACAAACATTATTATATTATTATATTATCCTTTATATCCATAATGAAGAAAGCTACGTTAAACAACGAACAACGTCATCAAATTTGTTTAAAAAAGCAAAATGATCCCAAAAAGAATTGATTGGTCGTTGTGAACAAGAATCCGGAGTAAAAATTGATCAAGCAACAATTTCAAGAACATTAAAGTATTCATCCGAATTTTAAGTAATGAAACAAAACCACTACAGAAAAAATCTCGTAATATGAAATATCCCGAACTTGAACATGCGAAAAAGATTTTATTCTGTCTATGAAGCAAAGCAATATTAAAGATTTTTTTTTGAATAAAAAATAAAAATTATTGTCATTGATCTTTCCTTTTATAGTATGAATATGCATATTTTCGTTAGTAGAAACATGATGCATACGCACGTTTACGTTATGCAAATAGTTCATAAGTCCCGATATGGGACTGAGCTACCTTTATGCAAATGAACAGATGCAAATAGACAGGTGTGCAACTGTGTAATTATTATTATAAATGTTACTATTGTATTTTCAATGATATGGAGCTTTATTTATTATGATTGTAACAAGACAAACTTCATTATATACTTATATAGAGAGTTAATATTAAAATTCATTATATCAAGAGCAATATATCTATAATGAAATGGTAAATTTTCTAACTTCATTATATAGTACGATTCACTATATAATAGGTTCACTATATCCAGAGCCAACTGTATGAATTTTTAATATATATAGTAAATCTGAAAAAATGAAAAAGTATCAATCCATGGAATTAGATCAAGATGATAACAATTGAAGATATATTTGGAAGTTAATGAAGAAATTTCTATTTATTAAGATATAATTTTTTATTTTAATATAAATAAATATATACAAATTTTAAAACAAATTTTAAAAAAATGAAGGATGCTTTGCTTATATCCAGACTTAATATATAATGTATATTTATCTATTAGTATGGACGATATATATATATATATATATATACAGTAAATTATATATATAATTTTTTAGGAAAAAAAATTTTTTTTTACCCTGAGGATAATGATCAACATCCCGCATAATTTACATCAGTTTGTGTATACATGGAGCCTACCCTTAATATACGCGTCGATCATTCACAAACTTCTTTTATTTTTTTTTTGTAAAAATACCCAATAAAAGCAATAACACAAAAAGAAACAGAGAAGAAAATCGTGTCGAAGGGCAAATTGAGTAAGTGTTTTACAAATGGTGGTGGTGGTGGTTATTTCCACTCAACATCACTCTAGTTAAAAGAGAAAAAAGATTAACTTTATTTATTTTTAAATCAGTGATAAAGATCTAATGATTAGCTTTCTTGTAAATAAGCTAAAAAAGACATATAGAGAGATGTTGCAGTTTGAAAAAGTTAAACCGTTGGAGATATATGACATATTAGAAGACGTATATGAGGTAATTACATTGCTTTATTATTATTGATAGTAAAAATTTGTTACATTAGTTTATTTTTTAAAAATCCATTTAAGGAGAATTATGGCGAGACAGAAGAGGAAGAAGAGGAAGAAGAAGAGATGGTAGCAGAGGCAGTGATGGCGGGTAACAGTGATGAAGACAGTGATGAAGAGGAAGACAGTGATGAAGAGGAAGATGAGGAAGGTGAGGGTGAGGGTGAGGGTGAGGGTGAGGGTGAGGGTGAGGGTGAGGGTGAGGGTGAGGGTGAGGGTGAAGAGGAATTGGAGGTAGAAGTGGAGGTGGAGAATGTTGGAAATGAGGAGGTGGATGGAGTTGTAGAAACTGAGGTGTTAGATGAGGATGAATACGATGGAATTGTTGATATGGGGGAGGTGTGGAAAGGGAGTAGGTCAGTTTGGGGTTTAGCAGAGCAGGATATTTTGATTAATCATTTGATTCGTAAAAAAATTAATTGCAAGAAGTTGAGGGAGGTGGAGGGGTTGATGAGAACTAAACTTAATTTTATTGGATTATTTGGGTGCAGCAAAATAATATACACGTGAAAACTGTGATTATACCTTTAAGTCTTAAGAAAAAACTGTTCCATTGACATTAAATTCTGTTTCTCTCAAAAAAATTCAGAAGTTTGCTCACAGGTCTTGGAGATTTATGGATGCTTATAGAAATGGATTGACAGGTCTAGAAGCTTTTATATGCAGTAAAAGAGATACAAATCTCATAGAAAAATTCCAAGCAATGTTGTTGATAATTAAAATTGATAATAAATCAAATTAAGAAAATTTTAAAAATCACATTACTTTATAAATTTTTATTGAAAAAAAATCATCATTTTTTGAATAATTTTCAAATTATGGTTTTAGAGTTTTTGGTGAAATTTAGCAGTGCGACGCAGTAAATGGTGGTTATAGACTTCGCGCACCATATAAACATGACCATTATAAAGATATGATAAAGTTGGATTAAATTTACAAAAATTCTTTTAAAATATAACAATTTAAGGAGTTTAATTGATGATTCTTGTGAATGTCAATAAAATATTAGGGAAGATATATTAACATAAAGAAAAGGCTACAAAAAAATTAGCAAGCTTTGAAATGTAATCACATGATATCATGTGTTTTGTCCTTAAGTAAAAAATTTTTTGTTTTTTCTTCTCCAGGGAAACCTTTATATTCATGTATGTTAGATTGGGATTTTTTTAAAAATTCTTAATGCCATTCACAAAGGAATCATCAATTAAGGAGTTTAATTGAATTATGGTTGCAACCTTAAATTGAAAAAATCGTATTTCCAAAATATTATCAGGCGATTTTACCGACAAATCAGAATGACTAATGTAAATTGGCCAATAAAAGAGTGCCCGAAAATTTAAAAATTTACACATGGCATATAAATATTTGAAGGGCAATTACCCACAAAATTTTATGAATGAAAAGAGTAAACAAATAGAAATGTCTAGTCCTTTAGCTTTAATTCTATCGGCTTATTTTTTTTATTATCATAAAATTTTGTGGGTTATTGCCTTTCAATGATCGTCGATTGTAATGTTGTCTTTAGATGACGTACACCTACCTACCATATTTTTTGTTGATTTTTGTTGCACGAAACCGATTTGAATCCGAAACTATGAACCAGTTCGAACCGGGTTCTTTGGTGATAAAAATTAAGCCCAATTTTTTGTTATCATTACACCGAAAATATAGGAAATATACCACAAACAAAACCAAAAAGAGAAAAGGGAAAAGAACGTGGATTTATTAGTATTACAGATTAAAATTTTGACTTAAAAATCTCCACGCACAAGTAAATTATATTCTCTTCAAATGAACAAGATTGATTGTTGGTTTTTAATTAATTTTGATTCTTAAATTATTTAAATATAGGCAGATGATTTAACTGAAATGATTAATTAAATTAATAATAATAATAATAATAATAATAATAATTTTGATGGAATACACGTAAATAAAAGTTTTCCGGTAAAAACTTTTTAAATAATTCATAAAATAAATTGTTTTTTTATATTATCAATTACATATTTACTTATATGTATATAGATAGGACTGTCATTGCCATCTGATTATAATAAAAAGAGTCCTAAAACTTTTAGTATAAACAAACGATCAGGATCCTAATTGAAGAAGTTATTATTGCTCGTGAAAATTTAATAAAATCATATGATTTAGCATATGAAAGTGGATCAAGGCAAATGCCATTGTTTATAATCAACAAGCCAGATATGGCTTG